TTAATCTTTTCACATGATGACTGGGTTTTTATTCTTCATCCTATTGATGTGTTGTAGTGTGCTTTTCACTTTGGGTTATTGAACCATCTCTGCATGCCTGGGATAAATCTCACTTGGTCGTGGTGGGTGATGTTTCTGTGAGCTGTTGAATTTGATTTGTTTGTATTTGAAGGAGAGTTTTCACCAGTGTGTTCTGAGATATTGGCCGGTAGTCTTTTTCTGTTGTGTCCTTGTCTAACCTGGGTGTCAAGGCAATGCTGACTGGGCAGAATGAGTTCAGATGGGCTCTCTCCCTTCCCATGTTTTGCAGTAGCTGGAGAAGAATCAGCCTTATTTCTTCCCCGTAAGTTCAGTAGCACTCAGCTCTGGAGTCGTCTAGCCCCGGGGATGGAGTTTCCCTCTCTGACTCAGGGTCATTGCTCATTATTGATCTGTTCAGGTTTGCTGTCTTTGTGGTTCCATTTTAGTAGATTTTATGTGTCCCAAAATGAACCTGTTTCTTCCAGGTTTTCCAGTTTGTTGATACAGAGCTGTTGATAACAGTCCCTGCTGGGTCTTTGGATCAATTGTTTTCATCTCCGATTTTATTTATTTGAGCCTGATCTCTTCTTGGTTAGTCTAGCTAACGATTTACAAATTGTGTCTATTTTTCCAAAGGCAAATTGTGAATTTCGTTGATTAATTTTAAATTTCTATTTCATTTGTCTTTGTTTTAATGTTTTTTTTGTTTTGTTTTGTTTTTTGTTTTTTTTTTTAGTGCTCCTGTCAATATTTTATTTCACTCATATTGCCAAGGCAGGAAAGCAGTGGAGGCACCCAGGGAAGAGTAAGCATGTTTCCAAGTCTTGCTGTGTCTCTAGAAGAAACCATTTTGTCTCCTTTCCATTGTTCCCTTTTCCCTTTTGAGAGAGGAGTTAGACTGGGTAGTAGGAAGTTAGGGTATTCTGGGTCCTCAAGTCATCAATTTTTTCCCTCAAATATAAAAGGATATTTTCCCACCATGTCTTGGATTCACCAGAGCATGCATCTCCCGAGACGAGTTTATATATATTATACATTATTAATATATTATTACATATTAATATATAATATATATAAACAATTACAAAACAATATATATATTGTTTTATTGCAAAGTCAGATATACAGAGAGGAGGACAGAGAAGATCTTCCGTCCAGTGATTCATTCCCCAAGTGACCCCAACAGTTGGAGCATCCGAAGCCAGGAGCCAGGAACTTCCTGCAGGTCTCCCACGCGGGTGCAAGGTCCCAAAGCTTTGGGCCGTCCTCAACTGCTTTCTCAGGCCACAGGCAGGGAGCTGGGTGGGAAGCGGGGCTGCTGGGATTAGAACCGGCGCCCATATGAAATCCTGGGGCGTTCAAGGTGAGGACTTTAGCTGCTAGGCCACGCCGCTGGGCCCTCTCCACAAACTTTTTGAAGTTCTCTAGCACGTTTGCAATCATGTCTCCTTCATGACCCTCTCTGGCTCTTTTTACAACCTTTGGGTTAACATCTGTTTTGTGCGATGTAGGTAGTTCATGCTCACTCTTGGTCTGCATGGAATATCTCTTTCCATCTTTTCTGTGTCAGTCTGTCTTTACTGGTGAACTGAGCTGTTTTTGTGGACAACTGTTGACAAAATGCATTGATTGTTGATTCTTGTTTGTTTTTTAACCTCTAAACCAGTCTGTATCTTCTACTTGGGGAGAATTTTGTCCATTTACACTCAAGAGGATGATTTAGTAAGAGGTTAATCATTTTGTTGATTTTCTTATTGCTTCCTGAAGTATCTTTTCTCTCCCCTCCTGTATGGTTGTTTACCCTTGTGGTTTGGTGTTCTGTACTGATGAGATTAAATTTGTTTTTATTCCTCTTTTGTGTACTTGCACTCTTTGAGTGGGTTTAATATGAGGAGGTCTCAAAAATTTCATAGAGCAATTTATTTGAAAGATAGTACACATTTCTGTGAAGTTTTGGAAGCCCCCTGAGAACCATGATGGTGGTTATTTTTCCTTTGCTTAAAGGTGTCAGACTCTGTTAGCATCCTTTGTTTTTTAAAAAGATTTATTTTATTATTTTTTTTATTGGAAAGGCGGATATACAGAGAGGAGAGACAGAGAAGAAGATCTTCCGTCCGATGATTCACTCCCCAAGTGGCTACGACGGCCGATACTATGCCGATCTGAAGCCAGGAGCCTCTTCCAGGTCTCCCATGCGGGTGCAGGGTCCCAAAGCTTTGGGCTGTCCTCGACTGCTTTCCCAGGCCACAGGCAGGGAGCTGGAAGGGAAGTGGGGCTGCCAGGATAGAACTGGCGCCCATATGGGATCCCGGGCGTGCAAGGCGAGGACCTTAACCACTGTGCCACCGCGCCGGGCCCTGTTAGCATCCTTTGTAAAGCCAGTCTGATGGTGATGGGTTCTCTCAGGTTTTACTGATCACAGAAAGCCTTTATTTCCCCTTCATTTGAGAAGTCTAGCTTTGCTGGGTATAGTATTCTTGGTTATCAAAGTTATTTCTCTTTTTTCCCTTTCAAATTTTCAATATGTCATTTCAATTCCTCTCAGCTTGTATATTTATTAATTTTTATTGGAAAGGCAGATATACAGAGAGGAGGAGAGACAGAGAGAAAGATCAATCTGCTGGTTAACTCCCCAAGTATCTACAATGGCCGTAGCTGAGCCAATCTGAAGCTAGGAACCTGGAGCTTCTTTCAGGTCTCCCATGTGGGTGCAGGGTCCCAAGGCTTTGGGCCATCGACTGCTTTCTCAGGCAACCAGTAGGGAAGTGGAAGGAAAGTGGAGCAGCTGGAACATGAACTGGTGCCCATATCGGCCTTGTCCTGGGACCCCAGCCCCTGTTGCAACCTTGGCAAGGAGCTGCATTCTGAGCAAGAACATCCCTTCCTGCACACAGTTGCTGTCTCAGAACTGACCCCAGGCTCCAAGGCTGGATTGCTTTCTGTCTCTGGGAAGACCTCCCCACTTGCCCACTCCCTCCCCAGGTGCATGTGATAAAGGCCAGCCTTGTCGCTGAGAGCTGCTGGAGGACCTGCAGGCTAGCAGAAGAGGAGCCAACTTGGTTCAAGTCCCCAGGCTCAGCCCTTCTGCCCTCTGCCAGCCACAGAAGGAACTCATTGCCTGTACTGCAGCCTTGTGCCCATTGGGGAAGAGCCAAACCTCATCCATTGATAGGCACCATGCTACCCACTGAACCCCTTCCTCTCTACCTCAAGAAGCTCCCAGGTGTTGGACAATGAGGGAAGGGCTGACATTTCATTCTTGAGTGGGGGTGACCTGGGGATGGCTGAGGGACAGTGGAGCGAGAGCTGGGAATCAGGACCCAGCGGCTTTCAAAGGTCCAACTCGTAGATATAGGCCAAGGAGCCTGCTCCACTCACTGCTGTGCTGCTGCTGTTCACACACTATGTTGGCCTGGTCAGGGCAGCAAAACCACCCCAAGTATCCTGGGGCATCATTCACTTACTCACTCATTTATCTTGAGCCAGGGCTCACAGAGAGCGACACAGAGGGGAGGCCAAAGCACACACACTGTCCGTGCTGCCCACAGCCAGAATTCCTGAAAGAAGCCAAAGCTCCGGGCCTGGACCCATGCCCTGGGTCGCAGTGGGGTCCAGGGCTGGCTGTGTGATGCCACTGGGTATGGGGCCCTGAGGTTAGGTACGTGTGGAAAGTCCTGCTGTAAATGATCGGCAGACCTCCCTGTAGTGCCTGTCAGCACCTTGAACCTTGTGGATGTGCAAGGTGAGCCTCATGGGGATCCCAGGACTGTGTCCAGGTATGGGGAATGGGGAAGCAGTGGAAGTTGATGAGCTTTGAGAAGATGCAAGGTGTGGACAGTGGCAGACCAAGAAGGTTGGACTTGGTCCTCAGGGCTACTGAGGAGTCTCAGAGTAGACAGGACAGTGGGGCAGTTTAGGAACCAGCAAAGTCATGGAAACCCCAAGATATGGACAATGCCAGGCAAGGACGATCCCACCGAGAGTAGGGCTACCCCATCAGGAGGAGGGAGCTTAGAGACACAGGTAAGGAGGAGAAATGTGGGGTAACCCCGGGCCCCAAGTGTATCCGAGTCAAACCTGTAGGGGTCCAAATGCAGCCCCCAGCACTTGCTGGCTGTGACTCCCTTACGGGTCTCTTTGGGCCTCAGCACTTTTGCTGCTGTTTTATATCTGCCCTTGATGGTACACAGTTCTACAGATTTAACAAATGCCCGTGTCACCTTGTCTCCCATCAGAGCAGCGCAGTCTGTCCTGAATATGCTCTTTCGGAGCCTCCAATTTACCCTCTGTAAGCTGAGCTCAGAGAAACTCTCTCCATTTCCCACTGCAGTTTGTAATGGAGGCCTCCTGACAAGGCAGGTGGGACTGAAGCTGTTGATTTGGTCCCTGAGCATAGTCTGATGGCCACAGCATCCTAGGTCTCAGACACACATGGAGCTCTTGGTTCAAACACACATCCTTGAGTCATAATCCTGGAAGCTGGGCCCTGGAATGTGCCCCACTGTGCCCAAGCCAGAATGCCTGTGCCAGCCTATACAGATGTTCATTTGTTCTGGCAAATCCCCTTAAACAGGGATTCTGGCTCTGGTCATCGTAAAGCTCTAGAGAGCTGAGCCATCTTCCCCAAGGGGCAAAGGAGCCAGGAAAATGCACATTTCTGCAGCACAACTCCGAGGAGACAGGCCTGTTGGCTGCCACGTGCTAGGTATCTTGACTGCATGTCACTCACCCAAAATAGCCTGGACGCAGCGCCTCACCAGCTGCGGCTCTCTCCACAGCTCCCTTAGCTTGGCGACCACACACGCTTGGCTCAGCGGCGCACAGGGCCAAGTGTGGGGTCCAGTGAGGGCTCTCTCCCCCTTGTGGTCACCTCTAGTGGGCTGCCCTTCCCAAATCTAAGTCTGAACCTCAGAATGTGACTTTGCTTCAGCCCTCCTCAGCCCCTTTGTGCCTGGGAAGGAAACGACCCACACCCAGGCTGCTCTCCAGACAGGCACTTTAATGCATGGTGATCCGAGTCATGTTCTCCCAGCCTACACCTTTGAATTCTACATGGGGCTGGCCTGTCTCTAACTCTGTCCTCTGCTTGGAAGTTTGTATTCCCAGAAGGTCTGATCTAGTGGTAACAAGTGAGTCTTGGTCACAGGCAGCATCTGGCTGGCGGTGTCATGCAGTAGTCCCCACGCACAGCTAGGCAGATTGGGGGGGGGGTGTGATCAGGCAGGATTGAGTCACTACAGCTTCAAGCCACTCCGCCGCCGTGAGTCCTTGCGGGCCACGGGACTAAAGTTCATGATCTCCTTGTAGATGTGCTCTAAGAAAGGCGGGTTGGGGTCAGCGGGGGATGCCGAGGGCAAGGGGATCCAGCCCACCTCCAACTTGCTGCAGAGCAAAAAGTGAGCTCAAGTGGAATCAGAAGGCACAGGGAGGTGGCGTCTGCTCAGAGAGGAGGACAGGAGTGTCCACGTGGCACTGGGCAAGCAGGAGGAGGCAAGGAAGGAAAGGCTGCAGGCAGGAGGGAGGGCGGATCCCAGGGCCCCGGCTCTCACGCTTCCATTCGTCCACTGTGAGCTTCCTGTGTTCCAAGGCATCATCGAACAGCTGCGGGGCCTCTGTCTCCTCCTCAGGGTCCCGGAAGGGTTCAAAGAAGGGGTGGGCAAGGGCCTGTGAGGCGGTCAGACGCTTGTCCACGTCCAGTTCCAGCATCTTTTCCAGCAGGTCAACGGCTGTGTGGGCAGAGCTGTGAGCCTCCCACCTGGGGGTGCACAGACTGACGCGTCCCAGGGAGTCACCCCAATCCCCATCCCCACTTTGTCCCATCCCCGGGACTCACCCTGGGGGCTAGCATGTGGGAAGAGCTGTGTGAAGTCCTTCTTGGGGATACGGGGAAGGGACTGGATGTAGGTTTTGGCCTAGAAGATAGAAAGTTGTTCAAACCCACAGGGTGCCAAGTGGGGAGCTCAGAAAGCCAGCGGGCAGACCAGGGGGTTCAGTGTAGACTGAAGTGGGAGCAAGGCCAGGACACCTGCCCCACCCCCACCCCAGACCACAGCCCACTCAGCTCCTTCAGGCCAGTGCACATCCCAGGCCAACCTGGGCACCATCTGCCACCTACTGCTTTGTCCTTGAGCTTCTGCACGAAGTCTGCCCCGGGGACTCCTGTCACTTTCAGGATCTGGCTCAGCTGGTCCAGGTCTCAGCAGCAGTTAAGGCTCAGTGGCGCTCTCTGCAGGTGGGCCAGTAGCTGCTTCCACCCCAAACCCTGTCCCCTCATCATCACTCTGGAACCAGCCAGACTGAGTCTGGTTCCAGCCAGACTCAAATCTCTGTGGGGCTCCCCTGGGGCACATGCAAGCCTGACCCTCATCCCTTGCAGTGTCTGTCCTCTCCCTCCAGAGGCCCACAGCTTGCTATCAGAGGCCTGTGGTACACACAGCTGTAAAGTATTCTCTCCAAGGTGGTGGAATCCCATGGCCTCATTCTTATCATTCTGCTTATCTACACCTTAAAAGTATCCTCCCCTGCCCTTCTCCCCGCCCCAGGAATCACGCTGGCCTTGGAGGTCACCTAGAGCCTGCCTGGCTCCTTGCAGCTTGGATCTCCCGGCAAAGGATACAGTCCTTGCCCTTGAACAGCGTCTTTCCCGTCAGCATCTCGGCCATGATGCAGCCCACAGACCAGATGTCCACTGTAGAGAGGGGCCACCTGGTCCATGTGAGTGGCCTGTAGCCCAAGCCCGGGACCCTCCCGCGACCACCCACTGACCAGTCTGGTTGTAGTGCATCCAGCTCAGGATAACCTCGGGTGCACGGTACCAGCGTGTTACCACGTAGCCAGTCATCTCGGCATCCGCTAGCCGTGCCAGTCCAAAATCCAGGATCTATGGCTCAGTTGGGGGAGGGGCATAGGCAGAAGGAGCTCGCTGAGGGGACAGGGCTCCTGGAGCGGCTGTGCAGGACTGATGGGACAAGACCCACCCCTACCCCCAGCCCAGGCTGAGCCTGCCCGGGGTCCACTCACCTTCAGTTCACAGTCCTCATTCACGGCCAGGTTGCCTGGCTTCAGGTCCTGGGAGGAGGAGAGGAGAAGAGAGGGGGGGCCCTGGCCTTGGTCTTGGCCAGTACTGTGACCTCAACCCTTTTCTCCAGCTGTGAAATGCACACGGGACTAGGGGTCCTCTAAGGGCATCAAGCTCGAAAACGTGCCATCTGTATCTGCAAGCCCATTTTGTGTATAGCAATTCTCCCCATGAAACTCCCTAACACAGGCCTTCCTGCTCACCACTCCATGCTTCCATGAGTGGCCTCTCCCTTCACCCTTCCCACCCGCAGCTGTCAGGTGGGGCAGGGTCCTCTGAGAAAGGAGTGGGGAACGTACTCACCCTGTGCACGATCCCGGCTGAGTGGATGTACTGTGAGAAAGAGACGGGATGAGCCCACTGCCCCCTCTACCTCATCTCAGTCCACCTCCAGACTCCCGCCTCCCAGACCTCGGGTCCCCACCCCAAGGGACCCCTTCTCCACCCTCTACCAAGGACCCACCCACCCACCTTAAGACCTTTGAGCATCTGATAAACCAGGCACTGGATCTTGTCCTCACTGAACTCCATGCCCATGATCTTCTGCAGGTCTGTCTGCATGAAGGGCATCACCAGGTAGCTGGAAGTCACAGGAATTCCTTGGAGCAGAAATTGGCCCTGCCCAGCCCCATGTAGGAACTCAGAGCAGGCAGTGGGGGGGGGGTGGCATAACAGGAGCCTCAGAGACGCAAAAAGGTGTGAAGAACCAACCCCCCTGGGCCCTCTGCACTGCCACTCTCCCACCGTGGGCCTCCAGGCCCTAGTCCGGGTCATCCATGCAGGGGACTGCCAGTTGGCAGAACCCAGAGTAAGCTCTGAAGTTGGAGAGTGCCCTGGATCCCAGACCTCAACAATGGCCTCTTTGTGCCTGCTACCCATGCCTGGAAGAAAGCCTCTGCCAGAATTTCCTTCTGCTTCTAAGTATGTTCTCCCTCAGAAGGGTGTGCTGGGTTGAGATGTCTCCATAAACCAGATGTCTGCACTTCTGGGAAGGAAGCAATAAATCCATTTTCAGGAGGTGGCTTGGCTAGTGCACCTGCTGTCAGGCTTGCGACACAGGTGAAGGTCAGCAAGATGAAACCATTACTCAAGACAGGGGCAGCCAAAGTCAAAACAGGAAATCAGACAGATTATAAAAGGAATTAAAAAAAAAAAAAGGGAGGAGATGCAGGCCAGCTCCATGAAATCTGTGGATTTTTGGAGCTCACCTGTGCCTGACTGCAGTCCTACCCTCAATGCACCTTGCACTTGGCATAGCCCCCCGTCCTGGCCTCAAAGTTGCTCAAGCCTTGCTGTGTCACAGCCGCCCTCCCTTCACTTGGCTTCTTCCTCCCTCACTGCACACTTCAAGGAAGGGGCTCTATACTCCCAGAATTCACTGGCTTCCCTGCAGGTCCTCCAACAACCCAGGGCCCGCCCCTGGCCTTCTGCCAAACTGCTCGGCTCAAGGTCAACAGTGACTGCCCTACAGACATGGTGCTGTCCTTTCTTTCTGTTTGACTTGCAAAGCCTCACACTCCCTCCAGTTCAGAGGGGTTTCTGAGTCATCACCTGCTTATCATTCTCTTCTCCCATCTCTCCTCTCTTTCTTGTGGATGCCTGACTTAGGATTACTCTAGTCTCTTCAAAAACAATCCCCCAGCACCTGCAGGCTGCAGCTGGCATCTTTGTTCCTATAGTATGCAAACCTTTCCCTTCCAAACTCTAGATTCTTTCCCTCTAGCAACTGCTGATTAAACACCAGAAAGTTCATAAGTCCTTCCTGAGTGACATGTGCACAGAGCAGGTGTTTCATGCAACAGTGAAGACATCACCTGAGATGCCCACACCCCACAGCCAAGAGCCTAGGCTGTAGTCTTGCCTGTTTCTAATCCGGCTTCCTGCTACAGGACTCTGCAAAGTGACAGGTGATGGCTCCAGTGGTGGAGTCGCTGCCACCCACAGGGCAAATCTAGACAGAGTTCTGAGCCATAAGTATTAGTTGGCTGGCCCAGGCCTGGCTGTTGCAGCCATTTGAGGAGGAACCCAGTAGACCAAAGCTCTCTGTCCCTCTCTCTCTCTGCCTTTCAAATAAGGTATTATGGTGGTTAGGCCACCATTTGGGACATCCACATCCTATATCAACAGTATCAATTCAAGTCCTGACATCTCCACTTCCAAACTAGGTACCTGCTAACGCCACCAGGAAAGCAATGGATAATGGCTTAGTTACCTGGGTTTCTACCACCACTGAGAGACAAAGATGCCATTCCTGTTTCCTGGCTTTGGCCTGACCCAGCCCCAGTTGTTGTAAGCATCTGGGGAGGGAATCAGCAGATGAAAGATATTTCTTCTTTGTCACTCCCTGCCTCAGTCACTCTGCTTTTTCAATAAATTAATAACACATAAATTTAAAAAGGAAAATTCCTAAGGAGAATGTTTCATCTTTGCCAATCTGTTCTTCTGGGGGCATCCTCCTAAACATGACTGCATTCAGACCCTGTCCTACCAGACATGGCATTCTGCCAGTCCTACCCCTGATAACCATGCCCTCAACTTTATTATTTTTAAAATTTATGCATTTATCTGAAAGGCAGAGTTCCAGAGCAGGGTGGAGGAGAGAAAAGAGAGAGACCTTTTGTTGTGGGCTAAGGAGTTGATCAGTGCTGGTTGGCCTGGGCAGGAACAGGAACTGGGCTTGTGGCTAAAAACACCTAGACTAATTGGACTCATCTGTATCCAATATCCTGCTAAATGAGGATGTGGGGGGAGGAGTATATAAGGGAGGTGAAGGAGCAACAAAGCCAGACTTCCCAGAGACTTCTACCATCACTGGTTTCCTGTCAGTGCTTCATCCCCAGACCCTCTCCCTGTCCACCTTACTGGCTCTGCTGGCCAGATCAAACGGCGCCTTAACATGGGGCATGGCATGAGGGACCCCTGGACCCACGAAGACAAGTTTAGAATTTAAATATTTTTCAGGGACATAATTGAGTTCATCTCCAGATCCTCTCCCTGTCCTCAGGCACGAGGGACAATCTGAGGGACCCCTGGAACTCTGGAGGGACATAAACGCCTTCATCCCCAGACCTTCTCCCTGTCCTGAGGCATCAGGGATAATCTGAGGGAACCCCAAAAATCTGGAGGTAAGCTTAGAAATAAATATTTTGCAGGGGCATAAGTAAAATTTATCATGGGGCAAGAACTCACTAAAGTGCAGATAATTAAGGGAGTCTGAGATCTGCTCCACACACAAGACACCGACACTAAGCTTAAGACCTTGCAGAGGTTCATTGAAACTGTCTGCGAAATATCCCCATGGTTTGCTCTCCTTGTAGCCACCTTTTTCCTCTGGCGCTTGGTAAATAATGCTTTGTCATCCCCTCAAGTGGTGATGCAACCCTTCCTTGAAAAATAATCCATAAGAAGGGGCAGGGAGCCACAAACCAGAGTAGAAAGTCAGAGGGGACCCCAAACCAGGGTAAAAAAGGAAAAGGAACCCTAAACCAGACAAAGTCTGGAGAAACTGCACAAAGTAGATTCAGAGTCCTCTTCTGAGGAGGAGGAAGGGGAAGAGGATGGAAGTGAGTCTTCCGAGGATCCTCCGCCCACAGAGGATATGCCCATAGAGTGTGTGCCGAGCAAAAATCGCTTTTGGCCAGGCACGGAGCCCTCTGTGCCACCTGCGTCGTCAGCGCCATTAAATCTGGGCCCCGCCGTGCTAGCTTAACAGGAGCAACTTCAGCGTCTCTCCCTTCAGCTGAGGCAGGATTAGCTACAGCCCCAGGTAAAATACAACTTGTTTCTCCGTTTAATTATTTGGAATTTCAACTTTTTCAGAATTGTATTAAACCCTCCAAATTTCCAAAGCCCAGATGTTTTTAGCCATCTTTAAAAAGGCATCAAGAATTCAAAAATTTCAAATTCTAGGGCTTCCCTTGGTATTCTTACGAGGCTTCAAGAATGCCAACGGATTTATCTCCCATTTTGTGGAGACAGTTAATCAGGTTGATTGAATTACATTAAGGTTATTGCCAACTGGACGTGACACACATCCCAGAGTTTGGGACACTAAAGTATGTGCATGTTACTGTCGATACTTGCTCTGGATTTATTCTAGCTACTCATCAGACAGGGTAACAAGTCAGACACGCTCTAACTCATTGCTATGCATGTTTTTCCATATTGGGAACTTCCAAAGTTATTAAAACTGGTAATGGCCCCTGCTATACCAGGAGTAAGTTTTGTGATTTTGCTGCTTCCCACCATATACAACTAATTACAGGCATTCCTTATAATCCTCAAGGACAAGGTATTGTGGAATGCGCCAACCATACTATTAAGGATTATCTTATTAAAACAAAAAGGGGGAGTATAGCACTCCCCGAGATCATTTGAACCTTGTATTATTTATCTTAAATCTTCTAATATTGGATGCTGAAGGACGGTCTGCTGCAGATCGTCACTGGAATCCATCTCAGAAGCAGAAGGGTTGCGTAATATGGAAAGATCCCTTGACTGATCAGTGGTAAGGTCCAGATCCCGTCCTCATATGGGGGCGAGAATTGGTTTGTGTTTTCCCAGAAAACGAAAATGGCCCACGGTGAGTTCCTGAGAGGCTTGTCCGGCAAGGTCCTGCTGCTGAGTCTTGTGAAAGCTCGGGTACTGGCCATGGTGATGGCATTTGAGTTGGAAGATCGACGGGACAAGTATATTAGGCTTTTATATATTATATAAGTATATTAGTATATTGTTAAGCACCCCTCTTTTTTTTCTTTCTCCCATGAGCACCGAGGTCCCGATATTTCCTGCCTTTTGTAAGTGGCAGCTTTGTGGGGAATGGGTAAGCACTGCACGACGCCCCCCTTTCCCTTATTAAGGGAGGCAATTATTACTATGGAAATTATCAGTTCAATCACTCCTCTGGATTTGAGGACTCGCTCACAGGATGAACCTTAGCTCCTTGAATTTTAAGCCCATGTCTGCCTGTGTTATCCCCATGTTTCTCTCTTACATACAGAAAACGTCTCTGAAGTAAATTGCACCGAAGTCAGCTGCACCCTAACAGCATGTTGGAATGGCAATGGCGATACTGCTGTTGTCATGCGGCTGCCCAGAATCCTGCCTGTGCCTGTCGGGGCTAACGGAGAGGCCTCTGTTGGCCTGATATGGCGTAAGAGACTTTGACATAACATCAACTATCGTAGCCAGCATTGCTGTGGCGTCGGCAGACACCACCACAGCAGCAGTGACCCTAGGACACCCTACAGCTACTGCTGAGACCATGAACAAGCTTGTGGAACTGACTGCCTGAGCTATGGAACAACAGAACTTTATTGATGAACGCATGCGGGTGGGCATGCTTACATTATAGCAGCAGGTTGATTTGTTGGCAGAGGAGCAGCAGATGCTGTGGGATTCGGTCTAGGCCTCTTGCTCCCCATCATATGTCTTTATGTATATAAAACCTGGGCAAGTGCAAAATGTTTCCCAAGCTCAGGAACTGCTGTCTGCTCATTGCTACCGAGCTAAAGATACTCCTAGCCATGGAACAGGGTTACCAGCCTCCCCAAGTATGGTTTGTGCAGCTGCAGCAGGCAATGCATTGAATGGCAGCCAGTGACGGGTAAGATGGACTGGGCACTGACCAACCTAAGACAGGGACTCCATCATGCTACAGAGATTCCCGATGACGGGTAAGGCTGATGACCTGAGAGTCCACAACCTAAGACAGGCGCATTCAAGTCTGCTTTAAAACAAAAGAAGGGGACCTTCTGTTGTGGGCTAAGGAGTTGATCAGTGCTGGTTGGCCTGGGCAGGAACAGGAACTGGGCTTGTGGCTAAAAACACCTAGACTAATTGGACTCATCTGTATCCAATATCCTGCTAAATGAGGATGTAGGGGGAAGAGTATATAAGGGGAGGTGAAGGAGCAACAAAGCCAGACTTCCCAGAGACTTCTACCATCACTGGTCTCCTGTTGGTGCTTCATCCCCAGACCCTCTCCCTGTCCACGTTACTGGCTCTGCTAGCCGGAGCAACCTTCCATCTGCTAGTTCACTCCTAAAATCTTGCAACAATTTAGGGCATGCCATGCTGAAGCCAGAAACCAGGAGCTTCATCCAGGTCTCCCACAGGAATTCAGGGGTGCAAGCACCCGGGCTCCACAGATACAGTAGCAGAGGAGCTGGTTCTGAAGTGGTACGGCCAGGACACAATATCAGCCCCATCCCTTTGATTTCAGATCAACATCTGGGTCACAGACACTAGCCTCCAGGGTTGCCCCTGTCCCCAGTGCTGCTCCCTGCTGCTTACGCACGGCTGAAACACTGCAGCCCTCAAATCCAACCTGAGTACAGGGCCTCCTGGTGGGATCTAGGATGGTGGACCCTGAGTCCCACCAAAGCAGCAGGGTCCACACTCCCCACACTGCAGGCTGGCTGGCTGCCTCACATTCACGCTGGCCAATGTGTGAAGCAGCTGAGTACACAGCCTTTCTGCTTGCACCACTGCCATCTCCTGCCTGCCCTCTCTCCAACTGTGGCGGAAAGCAACTCAGAGAGAACCTCACCATTGAAAGTCCTAAGGCACAGGGAGGCCCTTCCCCAGGAGATGTGACACTAGGGATCCGCCCCCAGTGGAAGCCAGTGCAACCCATGGACTCACAAATCCTGGAAATGGCGCAGCGAGGAGGCCGGGGTGAAGACATCCAGGAGCCCAATGACCTGTGGAAGAAGCGGCCTGTGAGGCCCAGGCAGTGCCACCCCAGGGCCCCAGCCACACACTTAGGACCGGCCTGGCCCCCAGGAGCCAGGTCCCAAGCCTGGCTGGGAGCAGTAAGCAGGCAGAGGTCAAAGACCCTCCTAGGGAAGGAGCTGGGAGCCACAGCAGTGGAGTCCAGCTGTGGGGATGGAGGCGGCAGTGTGGCCAGGTGTACCAAGGGCATTGCTCCCAGGATTGCGCCAGCTGACTTAAGGAGAAAAAGAAGGATAGGGTTACTTCCAGCGAGCAGTTCCCCTACCCTTGACCTTGGCTTCTCCTGGGGTCCCCCTGCTTGCCACAGGCTCATAGGGCAGGGGTTTGCAAGACAAGAAGGGGACTTAAGTCACGGGAAGTAGTTGAGACACCGGCCCTCCTAGCTACACATTCCCTGGGGAAAAGCTGGGTGCCTGAACCTAGAACCAGGTCCCTCGTTTCTCCCAGGCAAGGGGGTCAAGGAAGGGACATACACTGGGGATTGGGGCCAGGCAGCATCCCTTTAAGCCCCAGCTCTGCCGCTGGCTACCCCAGGAACCCTTCTGCGACTTGCTCTCCTTATCTCAGTTATTGTGGCAATAACCCCCATCTCAAGGGACACAGGGTAAAACGGAAGCAGCTACTGCACAGCTCTCAGAAGCACCTGACACACCCTCTGAGGTTCAGGTGTTTGTTGCTATCACCGTTCAGGATTCTAACCCCAGCTGGGCAATGGCTCCTAGATACCCCACAGCCCACCAAGGTCCTCCCTGCACCTAGAAGGGCTCACCCTGCCCACGAGCACCCAGCACTCCCTTTTTGGGAAGCGTGTGCATGGCAGTCCCTGGCCGCCGCGGGGGCGGGAAGGGGCCCAATGCGGGAGGGTGTCCGGTGGCTGAGTCCCGGGGATGCTTGCCTTCCCGCAGCCCCCTAAGCCCAGGCCCCGGCGGCGCCTACATTCTCATGCTGCATGTGTTTGAGCAGGAGCAGCTCGCGGTAGGCGCGCTTGGCGAAGATCTCCGACTGGAAGGGCCGGCTCAGCTTCTTGATGGCCACCTTCTCCCCGGACCGCTTGTCGATGGCGGAGCTGTTGGGGGCACGGGCAGGTCAGCCTGCAGCAGCAGGTTTTCCTCCAACTCCTCCTGGTCCAGGCGCGGACTCCAGGGCCACCCGTACACCTAACCCCACTGGGCGCGCAGCCCAACCCCTGCAGTGTGAGGTGCAGAGCAGCTGGGGCCACCGCACGGGGCGCGGGGCCAGGGCTCCCCTACGCTGCCGCCGACAGGACGCGGATCCCGGCAGGGACCTCACGTCCTGCGCAATCCGGGCCAATCCCTTCCTCTTCCTGGGCCTTCCTGCACTCGCCCGCCCGTACTACCCCAGGAACTCTGCGGTCCGGAAATAGAGCTTCCGTCCCGGGAGAGCCGTCTCAGTCCGCATTTCACCCCCCCCCGCACCCCAGCTCCGAGACCGCACTCGGCCACCAAGGGGGAGAAAGGCTGTTGGCGGCCCCAAGCCAGCTCCGCCGTCCGGGGGCCGTGCTCGTCCTGGTCCTCTCTGCCCGACTCTGCCGATTCAGCCGAGGGGGCGCCCCGACGCCGGGCACTCCCGCGCCCCCCAAGCGGCGCGCGGTCCGGGGGTCTCACCACACGGCGCCATAGGCTCCGCTGCCGATGTGCGTCGGGGACACGTAGGTCTTGGGCAGTTCCCAGGCCGTCTTGTTGACCTCCTGCTTGTAGAAGCCCCTTTTCCGGGTGAGGCTCATCCCGGGCACCCAGTCGTGGAGGCTCCAGCGCGGTGGCTGCGCTCGCGGCCCCGCCGGGCTCCCAGCGCCCTGGTCCCCGCCCGCGGTCCCGGCCGCGCCCGCCCCGCGCCGCCCGTCCTCCTGCCCGCCTCCGCGCGAGGGCGGGGGCTCGGCTGCGACGCGTCCCACCTGCCGGCTCGCCCAGGTGTGCCGAGCGCCGCCCCGCCCCGGCCTGCCGCCCGGCGCCGCGGCCCCATTTTCCGGTCCGTCCCAGCCACCTGCCGCAGGTGCAGGACCCGGCACACGGTCGGCGCCGCTGTGCGGGAGTGGGTGCCTCCTGGCCAAGTGCCGGGGTGCAGCGGGGCGAAGGCAGGCAGCAGCACCCAGCTCCGGAAGAGTCCCACGAGAGGTTTTGAGGCCCGACTCGAAAAAACACAAAAAACGAAAAAACACTCCACGATTTGTGTTACTTAACTTTTCCCACACGGAAGACGCCAGCCTCGCTCCGTGGGCTTCTCACGCACCGACATGCACAGCCCCTGGTGTTTTTGTTTATTTTAGCTGGGTTTTGGCTCGGGAGATTTGGGCTGGAGCCAGGAAACCGAGGTCTGAGGGGGCCTCTGCACCCCAGGTTACTCAGCCATTGTAGCAACTCGGGGTCAGCTTTGTGTCGTCCGCCAATGTTTCCCCATTGGCCTGGTACAACACACCCAGAGCTCATATTTCGTCCACAAATGTGTTTTTGTATCTCTAAAAGGTAACGATTTTTTTTTAATACTCTTAGTACCATTGTTACACTTAACAATTCATCACCCTTATTCTAATGATGCACTATTACGTACGCAGGTTCAAACCAGCCCAGTTTTGCACAAACACATCCGGTGTTTGCTGGCTTCTTAATGCCCTGCGGGGACAATGACAGCTGTGGGTGGTGGCTGGTGCAGCCTGAAGGAGACTCTGGGTTCAGCGGTCACCAGAGCCTGGGAGGACCAGTATGAAATGGGCACAGGGAGACACTGTGTGTGCTCTGAAGACTTGGCCAAGCCCTCTCTGGCCCAACAGAGGCTGTGGGAAGGCTGGGAAATACCTACCTCCTTTGTCAAGTGACAGAGGTTGTGTTCAATAAGGACAAGAACGACAGGAACCCCCCCCCATCCTTGCCACGGCCCCCCAGCCTGGAGTGCTCCACTTAAGTCCCCCACAGGGGTTGTGGGCAGGGAATCTGTCTTATTTGTCTCTGACACGGAGTAGATGCTGTTCCCCAAATGTATAGAGAAAGAACGGAAGAGTCAGCGCATTGGAAGTGGAAAAACAAACAAACAAACAAACAAAAAAACATAGCTTTAGTAGACTCTGGTGCCAGTCATTAGACCAGATGCTTTGTATACACAGCCCACTTAGTCACGCCCAGGGCCTGTGAGTCATCCTCATCTTGGAGGGAGGAGCTTGTCATGCCGCCAGGCGATGCACCGAGGTCACGCACCTTGCAGAAGCAGGTACAGCCTGACTTGACTGGTACAGCCCCAGTCAGGGCTACAGTGCTATCTCCTGTCTCCATGATGAGATGCTGCTCCTCGAAGACCATCAGGCGTTGCCCACGTCACAAGGACATGGCTGTGGTTCAGCCTAAGTCTTCCTCGGTTCAGCCCCTCCTACCTCCCCTCACACACACACCTCTCCATCGCTGAGACTCCCGCCCTGTGGGAAGGAGCTGAGGGTGGCATGGGACATAGGTGGAGGGCCCACTGATTCAGAAACTGGGGTTGGGTCCTGGGAGCCAGGTGTGAGGGCTTGACACTGGCAAGAGAGGTATCCGGGAGAGTCATGTTTCCTCTCGGGCTGAAGCTTCAGTCAGGAAGGGAGTGGACATCCATGGAAGCAGAGGGGGAGTCCCAGAAGGTGAGGAGCACCAGGGAGGTGCCCATTGCTTAAGTTTGTGCATTCCTGCGAGGACGTGAGCCAGCCACCCCAGCCATGGCCTCGGCGGCCTCTCCAGCAAATGTCAGGAAGTGATTCACACTCCACTGACACTGAGCCCCTTTGGGGGGGCCTTGCTGGGTTTGTGTCTGCTCAGCAAGCCAGGAAGCTCTGGAGGGGACAGCTGGGAGCATCCAGGCGGAGAGGAGGAAGTTCCTGACACCACAACCCTAGCTCTTCTTCCTCTTTGAACTCCAAGATCTGCTTGCTTGTCTGCGGCCTGGACGCAGACCCAGGGCTAATGGTTTGGTTTCTGCTCTATTCACATGGAGGTGGGGCTTTCAGAAATCGACTTTGGAATTTCTGTCCCGACCTCCGGCACAGTTCCTCCCCGTTCTCTGAACTTCAGTGTCCTCGTTGGAAAATGAAGAGGACACTAAAGGAAGATAAGTTCAGATCTTGCTCATCTTGGAGGGAATGCCACAAGCTGAGACTGTCTGGAGCACCTGATGCTCCCTGGCACAGCTTTGCTGTGCTGAGCTCTGCGAAGCCGCAGCCTCGCCTCCTGCCGCCTCATTGCCAGTGATAATCCAGAAAAGGATCCAGATTCAAAACCCGGGCTAGGGTGTTTCCTGAGTGTGCATCACTTCTGCATGTGGCAAGGCTGAAACACTGCAAGTCAGCCCCTCGTAAGTCAGGAAGAGTTCTGGGCGTATTCTCTGTTATTAAGCTTTTTGTTGTTGTTTGAAAGAGTTTCACAGACAAGGACAGATGTCTGTGACAGAGAGAGGCAACATCTCACATTCACACACAGAGTAGAGAAGAGAGAGGGAGAGAAAAAGAGGTGGTCAGTCCACTGGTTCACTCCTTAAACAGCCTAAAAAGCCAGGTTTGGGCCAGCGCAAAGCCAGCAGCCAGGAATGCCATCCTGATCCCAGGAACTCAAGCATTTGGGTCATCAACCTATTCCCTTCCCAGGCACATTCCGAAGCAGGGCAGCTAGGACTCCAGCTGACACCCCAGTATGGTATACCAGCATGGCAAGCAGTGGCTTAACCCACTGTGTCACAATGGCCATCCTTAAACCTCTCCTTTAATTCCATTTTCCATGAATGTTTTGAAGTCCCCTCCTTTGAATATGATCCTCACACAGGTCCAGCTGGGAAGGGACTTTTAGGGAGAGAGTGTCAGAAAGGACTTAGGGTAAGGATGGCACTTGTGTTGGGGAACAGGGCTCTGGATTGGCTACTGCAGGAAGTGGCAGGGATTCTAACGGGGCATCTTAATAAATCTTTCCTAGAAGGAGGGCAATCCCGAGCTGAAGCTTTGGCTGATGAGGAAGCAGGCTCCATTCAGACTAGCTATGTTAGGGGTTGCTTCGTCATCTTTGTGGTCTGGATGATGTTTGGGTCGGGTGTAGGTGCAGGTTGTCTGACCATTGTCTTGAGCCAGCCTGGTCATACATGGCCTTGTCTGTTGCTGATTTCTGGGAAATCACCTGGGCAACAGAAGCGCACCACAACTGAGCACCTGCCGGGCAGCTGCCGCAGCCGAGCCCTGGCTGAGAAGTGCAGCCAGCTCCCCGGCACCTCCCCTTCGCACTGTCATCCTCTGAGCACAGAGACAGAGGCCCAGAGAGGGCTGGTAACTTTGCCAAGGTCACACAGGACTGAGAAGGTGGTGGACATGGGCCTTCAGCCTCGTGAGTGGGGCAGGCGTTTGACTTAGTGGTTCAGGCGCCTGTATTAGGATGCCTGTTGTCCCACATGAGAGTGCTGGGTTCTATTCCAGGTTCAGCTTTTTGTCAGTGCAGAAACTGCGGGGCTGTGATGACAGCTCGAGTACTGGGTCCCCTGGAAATGTGTTCCAGGTTCCTTGGCTCAGCCTCATCCCTGGTGGCTGTCTCCCTGCAAGTTATAAGACCCTGGAGAACAGGGACATGGGCTGCAGAGCAATGGCTGTGTGGTCTTCCAGATCAGAACCCCCACGGCTCTGATGGCTCCCAGCCAGCCCAGCAGCCAAGCAAGCTCCACCTCACCTCAGGATTACAGCAGCTCATCATATGCTATGCTCATGTCTCTGCTGTGCTGGGTGGGCTGTGAGATCGCCACCAACACTGCAGTGGCTGACATGGACGTGGGCCAGGCAAAGGAGCAGCTTGGAAGCTGTAGCCCCTGGCTGCTTGGGGGGAAGCCTCCCAAACCCCATGGGACAGGAGTAGGAATTTAGTGCAATGGTCCAGGCACCACCTGGCCGCTCCCGTCTCACAGGGGCATGCCTGGATGCAAGCCCTGGCTCTGTCCCTGGCTCTGTCCAGCCTCTTGCTAATGCGTCCCCTGGGAGGTCATGCTGATGGCTTAAGTAGATGAGGCCCTGTCACCCATGAGGGAGAGCTGGTTGAGTCCTGGGTGCTGTGGGCATGTGGGGAGTGTGCCAGAGGATGGGCAATCTCTCTCCATTTAAAATAAATAAGTTTTTTAAAAATAAATAATTAAGTTTTCAAAAACTCTGTAAGGTAACAGCAGAAAGGTAGACAGATAAAGACAGAAGCCTGCACATTTATGGGCTGCTGTGTGACTTGCTAAGCTGAGTTAGTGCACCTCTGTCTCTTTCTCTCTAAGCCTCAGTTTGCCCATCCATAAGATGGGTTTGTAAGTGGCGGTGAAAAAACAGGGGTACACGGCTTGAATATGAGGCTGGCAGGCCCTCTGATCCCCCTGCATGCTCCTCTCCACCTTCCCTCCTCTCTCCCTCCCTGCCTTCCTAGTTCTCTCTCCCAGCAGGTACTCCAGAGGGAATTCCAAACCAGCTCACCTCTGACGCCTGTGGCCCCACACTTCCAACCTCCTCTGCACTCCTGCTAGCCAGTGGAGAGGGAGATGAGGTCTGGAACATAGAGAATAATTTTTAAATATTTATTATCATCATCATTATTATTGCAAAGTCAGATATACAGAAAGGAAGAGAGACAGAAAGGAAGATCTTCCATCCGTTGACTTACTCCCCAAGCGGCCTCAATGGCCAGAACTGCGCCAATCTGAAGCCAGGAGCCCAGAGCCTCTTCTGGTTCTCCCACATGGGTGCAGGGTCCCAAAGCTTTGGGCCGTCCTCGACTGGCCTCTCAGGCCACAAGCAGGGAGCTGGATGGGAAGTGGGACCGCCGGGATTAGAACCAGTG